GTGAAAGCTCTGCTCTCTCTGTCTATGGAACACAAGATCAAAGACACTTTCTTCCCCACCCTGGGCCACTTCCAAAACCCCTAAATCCATCAGCATATGAACACTATCGATTGTTCCAACAGTACCACTCCACTCCACCGATACCATATGGATTTTGTAGGCCAACAGATCCTCCATTTTACAGATTTTCACATGTAGCTGGTATTAACAGGGATCAAAACTCTCATCTCATGGAAGAAACTACCTTGCTGTACCCAGCTTCTTTAAGCCCTTCCCAACAATACCCTCTAAGTTCACATAAAAAACAAGCAGATTATGAAAAAGAAATGACATTATTGCATGCCAAAGGTAACCCTAAGGATGACCAAAATGAGAGAGAGAATGCCAAAATGAGCCCTCTCGCGGGAAGCGCGGCAACAGGCTCCCCTGGCAGACCCAGCCCCACCAACTTCACCCAGACAAGCCACACCTGTGAGGGACTGTTTGACCTCTCCAACAAGTCATCCTCCACATCCCTGGGCAAGTATGACCAATCAGAAGAAAACTTCACGGCCTTCAGACCTGTGAGGAAAAGCACTGACCAACCATCTTCCCTTCAAGGTGCACAGGCACAGCAGGAGAGAGTGGATTCACCTAACAGGTAAAATAACACTTCGCAAATTTTTGTCAGGTTTAGCAGGGACACGTGAAGACAGATAGGCACATTTCATGCAGTGCCTGTTAAGATATATTTAAATTTACAGCAGTGAGTTAATATGTTCTGTACTAGCTGCGCAAAGCACAAAGGTGCTACAGTGAGCAGACCACTCATTCTCTTTAAATGTACCAGGAATTTCCACCATGTTTGTGTACTTCCAATGTGTTTGAGTACTTCAGGGAATTGCTTCTATTACAGTGATGGGTATGGTGAAAGGGACTTGGGGGATTTAAAGGAGGAAGAACAAAATTGTTGTACTTCTAGCCTAGAAGTCTAGATTTTTTCCCTCTTCCTGCCCACTTCCTCAGTCCCAGTTTAAAAAGAGATAGTGAATTCTCTTCTCTCCTTGTTTCTTTCAGCATCAATGTCACTGATGAAGACTCCCACACACAGACCGATGGCCAGAACAACACGGGCTCGCTGTCCAACACGGAGGAAGACACGGGGATAGTTCCCCTCAATCTTTCAAAAAAGGCTGACACAAGCACAGGACCTACTCATGAGCACATGTACAAAACCCCATCCAAAACAGACAGGCAGAGCTTCCTGGAAATGCAGGACATGCCCCTGAACCTCTCAGTAAAGGATTCCTGTAACACAGCCAACCTGAAAACGTCCTTCCACAGCCCATCCCACGACAACAGCGCCGCTGCCGCTTCTCCGAACACCGAGAAGGAGAGCTCCGGAGCGGAGCCGTGCGGCCCCAAGAACCCCAGCGACAAATCCTTCGTGGCCCAGCGCGGCGAGGCTGCGGACTTGGGGCTCATGGAGAGCTGTGATGAGCAGAAGCAGACGGCGGCCGTGGCTCTGTGCCAGCTGGCTGCCTACAGCCCTGGCACGGCCCGGCTGGACGGCGACGGGCACAGCGCGCAGGACGGCCACGCCGCGCCTGCGGAGGCCACCGGTGCCGCTTCCGATGCTCAGGATACTCAGTGCAATCCAAAGGGGAAAGGACCAAAAAGGACAAACCAAAAAGAATCTGTGAAATCCCAGCAAGGTGCTAAGAGGGTCAGGCCCAATGACTGCAGCAGAGTCTTCACTTTAAGGAAGAGAACAAGAGTATCCTAATCCTCCTCCTTCCAGGGAGTTTCTGGTTATCAGCATCATCATGAAATTTCTACAAACCCTCACTCGTTGGGCTTGGCCCAAGATACATCTCTCCATTGTAAATAATGTTCATAATTTTATATTAATATTTTTAAGTAATTGAACTTTGCCTTGTACAAGCTCAGGTTTTGATGAGTGAATTTTTACATTCATTACTAAAGCCAAAGTAAATTAGATGAATCTTCAAGGGGTTTTTGCAATTGTATGATGTAAAATAACTTTTACAACTTCTTTTCTTAAAAGATGTTTAAGCTCTAGAAACAATATTGCTCAATAACATACTGTCATAGTCTTTTTTCAGCCTTAACTTCATCTAATAAGGGGTTTTCTTGGTCTTTTTTTTTTCTTTGAAAACCTTTTTATGTCACTGTGCAGTAGTTTAAACAAGCTTAAGATTAAAACTGGCTTTTTAGAATATTCTGTAAAAACTGCTCTGTGTATGGATGCACTTTGCCATTCTGCTCTAAGAGAGAACAACGGACCAAATTTAGTTACTTAGAGGCAGATGCCACTTTAAATAAACTACCCCAAACCCTGTGTAAGCAACCTCTTCTCGCACTGACTCAGAACAAAATTCAAGTCAAACCAAAGAAAGCCTGCACAGGTTTAATAAATGCAGTTTATGTTCAAATTTAAGTAAATCTCTATGAAAACAACACTGAAAATATTTAGAACTAAACAATCCAGGTGCCTGCTTTGCTGAGGTTAGACAGACACTGGGCAGCCTTCAAACTCCAGGCCTAAAAAGTTATTTATATAATTTATTTCACCTGAGGCAAACTCTCCTGGTGAAGGTCTTGTTTCAGTACATGTGTATCACTCATTATCAGTTTCTGTGTCCTTCTACATACAGCCATAAACTACTTCCTACTTCTATATCTGTGTATATAAACTGGCAATTTTTCAAATAAATCTTGTGATCTGTATTTAAATTTATGGAAAGTCATTAATGAACACAAATACATTCACTACATTATCTATACTGAAGAACAGTTAGCGAGAAATTGCTAGCTAAACTTTGAACTGGCAAGCAGAATTTTGGGACCAAATCAATTCCAAACAATTCCAAAGAAAAGGAGCTTTCTTCAGTGATGGTAATTAATTATGCAGATTAATTCATCCACATTTTAATTCCAAATAATGAAGCTCAGAATTCTCTCTGCCTTAAAGCTGCTGTCCAGCTTGTCCAAACTGCTACAAAAGTTGAACTAAAATAAGGCTGATCCCTGTGTAAATTTGCAGTGTAAGGAGAACAAACCCAGAACAAGCATTATTCACATAAAACCACAGGTATACATTTGTCATTGGTCATTCCTCAGCTGAGGGACATCCTCACCAGCCTGAACATCACTAATAGGTGTAAACCTACTTAAAGAAGTGGAGCTGCATTCAACACAATGCAGAAGTCCCAGAATTTTAACTCATGTTTTGTGCTGTGCTGCTTTGAGCCAACAGCTCTGACAGAGCATTGTAACAAGTTTAGTAATTAAACAGTAAATGACAGACCTTCCGTTTCTGAGGTAAGGAACAAAAAGAGATACGTGGATATTTAATTTAGCATTTCATAGGGAAAACCTTCTCTCACATTATCAAGAGGCAAGAATATCAACATGAGTTTGAAAAAAGGCAATGCAGTAACAGAAAGAGCCCAATTAACTGAAATGACAATAGCAGGGCAGGAAGTCAGCATGATGTACTGAGTACATCAGCACGTGATCAAAGAGAAAGAACTGCTTTCCAGCCCAAGATTAAAGCTTCAATCTTAGGGTCAGATGCTACTAAATCCCTAATTTTCAAACATGAAATTACAGAGTCATGTGTCACCACTGCCACTCTTCACACTACCTCAAGCTATCTGCCTCACTCAGCTCTGAAAGCAGAAAGCTTCAGTTACCATTATCCACAATTTAAAAAAAGATCTTGTGTAACTCTTTACTTGCTAATTTGAATTTCTTTAAAGTGAACAAATTAAAACTTTTTTGGTGTTTCTTCCATAGAACTCAAGGATTTATTCTCCCCCATCTCCCTACAAGTATTATTTATAAAAGCCAGCTCTAGTAGTGAAGTCTACCTGATCTGCCTTCTTCGAATTAATTAAAACCCTATGACATGAGGTTATCCAGATTCCCTGACAGAGGTGCACAGTTTTGGTTTTGTCAGAACTGAAGTACAGATTTACATTTGGAAGATTTCCCTGTCATGATTCCCCAGCTGTAAGCTGAAAGTTTTTTAACTGTTTCACCTTTATCATGCAAGGGCAAAAGTAATGGAAAAAGGGAAACCAACTAAAGGCTCACTGCACAACTTTCTCATGTGCAGCACATGCATAATGGACATGAACTCTTTCCATGGAGACAGAGTAATAAACTGTATTAAATGACACATTTTACAGCACATCTTCAAACTAGAAAAGATTTAGCACCCCTATTTACTAGTCTGAAACACCAGCTTTGAAACATTTTTTAGATTTAGCGTTCAAATCCTCTATTCAACACAGGAGCACCAGATGGGATCCAAAGAACATTCTAGAACAGGACACTGCTGTAAAAGCACCCAAAGGTGAATGCTGACTGCTACACTGTGCTTTTGTCATTCCCACTGTGTATGGCATTGACCGAAAATGCATTCATATCTCTGTAATATTCAATGTATGTTGTTAACTACAGAACATACAAAGAAACAATTTCTCTGCCCTGTTCTTTCTCTTTCCGTCCTGCTATTTCAAAAACCCATTTAAAACATAAACAGTTCATGTATAAATTACATGAAACTGGCCTTTGAAATTTAACCATAAACAAACAGAAGAAGCTACTAGCTTTAAAGTGCAAGTTAGTCATCAATTATTTAATATAGTCTGCTTAAATAATGACACTGACACAATATGGAGACATGCAGAATTGTTTTATACAACTGTACAAAGGAAGATGGGAGGGAAGAAGAAAGAAGAAAACCCCAAGAAATTAATTCCATTTTGGAAAGAAATATTTATTAAGTGTAAAAAAAGGCACACCCAAGCCAATGCTTTAGACAGAAGTACTTAAATATCCCCATGGGCAAATGTTTTACTGCAGAACTCAGTACTTCAGTCATCATCCAGCACACACACATCAGCAAATCCCAGTCTATTGCCACACATTTGGTGCCTAATAGTATAAATTGTTATTTCATGAACTTATATTCAGCAAATACAACTCACCATCTGAAATTCGGGAAGGGAGCAGCAATCCTCTCCTGCCCAGCTCAGCCAGGGCCAGGCACCCACCGTGCCACGCGTTGTCTGTTTCCTGGAAACTAATATCAGATCAAGAAGTTTTGTTAAAACTGGCCTTCCCTCTCAATATTTCATTTCTTATGGTGAATTCCTAACATTTTAAAGACCTCTAACCCAAACCAGTGTGTTCTTACTGTGTTATTGATGCCACTAGACTTGTAAAATAGAATGACAGGTTGAACATGTTTTTCTTCCCATTTATGCAACATAAATACTGCTATAAATACAGTTAAATAAGCAAAAACCTCATTTATGACTATAAATGTAATTCAATACAGAAGATTCAATACCTGAAACTCATACAGAAAAGGAAAACAACTTTCTAGTACATGGGCAAGAGATCCAGATTTACAGAACCTACCCAAAATAACTAATGAGTTTAGTGCCAAATGCAGCCCTTAACTTGCAAAAGAGGCTCAAGTGGCAATTCCTGGCAAACCCATTACAAGAGTTTATGAAGTAAGCAAATAGTGGTTTTTATCCACCTTTACAAAAGATAAATCGGAGAAACTTGCAGTGAACACAGCAAAAAAACCCAAATGGTAAATAATTTTTAGTGGGCTGGCAGATAATGGAGTGAAAAGAGGAAAGGTGGCATGCTGCAGGATTAAATCTGAACAGAGTTCATCTTGTATTACATTGGAGGTAGGGAATAAAAAGCTGGACAGCCAGGCTAGGTTGTTATCAAAGCTCCATCTCCCCCACCACCATCTCTGACATGGCCTGAGAGCAGGTGCTCAGCCTAAGAAAAGCAGGAAGGACCATCCCCTTCTTGCCCTCCTGGCTTTGGCAATCACGGAGACAGCTCAAGCTGAGGCTGGACCTGGATTCATTATTTAATAACCTCTGAAGGGACTCTCTTCCATTAATTTGAATAATCCGTTTTTGAACTCTCTTTACACTTTTACATGGCTCCCATAACATGCCGTGGCAATGACTTCCACTGGTTAATTATAATTGCGTGGAAATGCACTTCCTGCTGCTTCCCTGCTCTGGCACCAGGGAGAGAGTGAATCGTAAACAGCGCTCGCTCTCCCTCCTTCTGGCCTGTTTACACTGGAGATACAGCAAATCCCATCCCTCCGCTTTTCCTTCCCACTTGTAAAAAGCCCCATCAGTTAAACCACTTTTCAGTGATTTAGTTTTATCTCTTCCTTTCCTAATGATTTCCAACATTACATTTGTCTTGTTTTCCCTGCCAGCTGCTGAGCACTCCCCTGACACACTCTGACAGATGAGTGGCTTCATGGGTTTGACAGTGAGCAGCATTTTGCCCCAAGTACATCAGTTTGCATGCATTAGACATTATATTTTGTATGACATTTACTGTCTTATTACTTCACTTGGGCTCCTGCAACACTTTTCTTTCTGTCACTTTTAGCTCTCACTACATTAAATCAACTTTAAACATCAGCTGGTTTCCTCAGCCCCTCATTCCCCTTTTTTCCAGGATTGTTTATGTGTATGTTGAACAACACAAGGCTCATACCCAAGTGGAACTGTGCTGACAATCTCACTACACTGAGACAAATCATCACTTATTTTTTCCCTGACTCTTGTCTTTTGATATGTCTACATATAACAAATCCTTTCTTTTTATCCCCAGAGGTGTAACAGAGTGCCTGTGATGAGCAACTGATTTATTCCTATTTTGGTCACTAGCTATTTAGTGCACAGAATCCAACAGAGGTTCTCTCTGTCCTTGCCTACGTTGTTCCCACGTGTTTCTGAAGAAAGCAGGTCACTCAATTACTACTTGAATTACTCATCCCTGTGACTTGAAAAACAAGGAAAGAAAACACAGTGAGTATAGGTCTTTGAAGCTCCGGGGATAATTGAGATCAGCAGCACCTCTTAAATTAATCACAGTAACACAGTGGAGGGATCATCTAAGTGGATACTTTCCTTGCAAGTCTTTCAGACTTTATACCTCCTTTTTTTCTAACGTGTTATCCTTTGAGCTGGCATCCTTAATTTGTACTCACAATCAACGTGCAAATATTTTTTAAAACTAGGGACGTCTGAGAGACAAACTGCACATGACCAGCATTTATTGCCAATAAAGAAACTCCTTTTGTTATTGGCTTGCTCTAAACCACTGGTTTAGATTTCAGGTACTCAATGCAGGTGTGATGAGCAATTTGGTATTAAACAAAAGCACGTGATACTTGTTTAATGATTTTGTCCTTAACGTGCTCTACATGAATGCAAAGCCATGACATCCAAAGTTAAAGTGCACCAAAAGAACATCCCACAGCTCTGTGTGCCCCAACTGGAGTTTCCAGCAGCCCCACATCCTGTCTGACACAGCCAAGAGCAGAACCCTTAGCCAGAGTTAAAGAACCAGCACATTGCAACACTCTACAAAATACTACAAACTCTGGCAGATCATGGAGAAGTTTGCAGACAAGCAGCACACTTTTTGTTCAGAAAATATTCTCAGCATCCACAAGATGCTATGGCAAAGAAGTACTTACAGTTTAACTGTGTGAATAATATCACTCTATCTCTACTCTAAACCTGCCACCTGAGGTTTGAGTTTGCTTCTAGTAACAAAAAAACTAGAGGGCAATCACATCCACACCATTCCCAAGTGCATAAATCTCTATTATATCCTATTTATTCCTCACTCTCCCTACATGTTTCAGCCTCCCCTCACACAGAGATTGAGTCTCACCTCTGGTGAACCTCAGAACATCATTTCCAGTTCTATTGGGTTTCTAAGGATGGACACTACACTCAAGACATGAGTCTTGAGCACACCAGGAATCTCTAAATTAGCAAGTTACTGAGCATTCTTTTATCTTTCTTAAGTTCAGCTTCAGTCCTTGCACATTATCTTAGTATGGGGTCAAGAGGATGGATCAGAAATAATTTATTTATTGAATACCTTTAACCCATCTGTGTCTTCAAAGGTTTTGAAGTCTGGGAGAAGAACAGCAAGAAAATTTATAGATTTTTAGATTCAGACTTTTTTTCTTCCTAACTGTTGTCCCCCCATTCCACAAGCAGACATTTTAGACGTGTGTAATGTGTAAAATAAGATTTTTACCTAAAACAGTCCAACAGAGACCCAATCACATCATCTGCTAATTCTTTTGGAAGTCTTCCAGTTATTCTACCAATTCTACAGAAGAAGAAGAAAAAAAAGGCATACAATGGATCATTAGTACTATTTATTATTGATTTAAATTATAGAAAAAAAATTAGTCACTGGAATCTTCCTGACTTCAAGGAAGTCCTAAGACTGGTACCCTTAAACAACATTCTCAAACTTTAAAAAAAACTACAAAGCAATGAACCTCCCACAGAAATGCATTTTAAAAGAGAAAGAGGAAAAAAGCATTTTGAAGCAATGTTTCTTTGCACCCTTCAAATCTTGTCCCACCCAGAATGACTATTTCCAAATCCATCTGAAATTACCTGAAAACTGACCTGAGCTTTCACCAGCTAAAGAGAGAAATGTGTCTGTGCACCCACCCACCACAGGCTGTGCAAAAGCCTTTTGCAGTAACAGCAAATATTGGCAATACACCCAAATTATCAATCATGGATCACACTGTATTTCTGTACTGTTTACAGCTTACCAGAGCCACCACACCAAACTCACCCTTTGGCTGCAGACCACCTGACGATGGTGTCTTTGTCTTTCAGGCCAACCAACAATTGTTCTGCAAATAATTTTATTTAAAAAAAAAAAAAACAGATTATTTTTATTTAACAAGAGAAAAATTTCTTAAGATGTTCAAAATTCATTTGCCTCTCTGTATAAAAATCTTTGCACCTACATTTATTCCATTTGTTATACAAGTATGACTTAAAAAAGAAGAAATATGTCAGAACTGTTTATGAAAAAAGAGATTGAAATTTTAAGTGCTGTAAAACATTCAAAATGGAGGTCATGGTGCTTTTTGTAGAGGTTCATTAGATTATTCAGTTATGAAAGTCTTCTGATGCAATTTTTGCCAGTTTATTTACAGAATATCCATTAGTCAGCTAGCAGAGGACATGCTGTACAACTGCATATTAAGAAACAAATGCTGTTCCTTTGATACTAGCACAGTCTAAATATTAAACAATAATTCTTTAGCTTTCATGTGACTTATTTTTTTGTTGTGTATTCCATTATAAATTTGAATTCACCCTTCCATCAGGGCATCTCTTTTATGTAACTGGATAAAACTGGTAAAACATATTTCAGTATGTTTATACCTCCACAGCCATTTCCACAATAAATGTTCCAGTATTGAGTTTCTGATGGAGATGCGGAAATCCAAACCATTTCACAAAACACCATCTATTTTAGTCAGCTGCACAGACTGAAGTTTTAGAGTCTCTCCAGCTGCTCACACTAGCACAGATACCCACATGACTTTTTTAGCCCCAAGCAGATCGTTTTCCAACATATGTTTCATTTGCAGCATTGCAACGATTTCTCTCCAGCTTTAACACACCTACAACGTTTTCAATCTCTCCTGGAATGTCATATTCCTCATCATCATCATCATCATCACCAGCTTCATCAGCAGCAACTTCTCTCTTTTGGTTCTGCACAGCTGCCCCTTGAGCCTGCAGGTTGGCAGCCAGAGACCGACGGCCACGCTGGTACCTGCACAGCAAACACACACTTCAGTGATTTCTGTGATTGAACTTCCAGCTGCCACAAAGTCTGCCTGCCACCTTCCTGCCCCTCCCAGGGCACAGCTCTCCAGTTATTTAGTGGCTGCTTTAAAGGAAAGGGAGAAATATCTCATTCTCCCTGTTCCTGACCCAGTTGTCTATTTTCCAAAGTGAGAAGAGCCAGACTATTCAAATAGTTCCTTTTCATTATCCCTCTCTTTCCTGTTTCACTATAACCTATTTTCCACTGCTAACAACAAAGAGAGACAAAATTCCCATGCCCCAAAAGTCTCTCCAAAAACTAAAAAAAATAAATAATTAAAAAAAATTAATAAAATCAGCTTATTAAAAATTGCTTTTTAAATCTCAAAGCCAGCTTAGTACTTTCTGACCAAGCTGTACTCGAATATTTAGCCCGTGGTGCAGATGCATTCTTACAAAAGATAGACTTTACATGCTAAACTGACTTTTGCCATTGGGCAAGGTACACTCTCCACCTAAAAAGAATTTTCTATGCCTAAGGATGTTCTCAAAAGCCGGTAAAATAAATACAATAAAAATAGTCACCAAGGGAGCCTGCAATTTTAAAATATCAGTGCGAGAAATCTAAAAAAGAGTTTGCCCTCTGGCAGTACGTAAAACCAGACACCAAAACCTGACTAATATGCAAAACCAGAGCGGGATTGCAAACCACTTTTCCCCTGTGAACTTTCTATCGAATCAGGGTAGGACCAGGTAATGGAAAAAGTTATGTTCACTCTTACAAAATTGTACTAAATCAGCTTCAGGAACAAAGGTCGCCATCTTCCCATATTTAGTGAGTTATGCATTATATAGGAACAGGCTTCTGCTTGTGCAATGTGCAAAGTCAGATTTGGCTTCTCCCAGCACTCACTTATGTACCAAAATTGAAAAAAAAACCACAGGAAACTAAATACAGTGGAAGAATCCTCCTTTTTCCAAATAATGCAAATGGAGAGTATGTTCATTCCCACAGGGATTTCTTTTTCTTTAAGGGAAGGTTAAGAGGTGCAGAAAGCAAATGTATGGATTTATATATTTGTAGTGGGTTTTGTGATTTTGGATTTTCCTTTTTTTAAACTGACCTCCACTTTGCTACTTTTGGTTTCACAAAAGTCAGTCCAAGTCGCTGGACCAGTTTCATGCCCAGCTTGCGCAGAACCATCTGATTGCTTTCTGACAGCTTGCAGTTATCAAGACACTCGAGAACAGTAGCAGCTGTAAAAGAAAACAAACACACCAGAAAAACTGCTTTTAAAAACACCTTGGTATGAACATTTTAAAGTTTAGAACATTTTTTTAGGAGATTTATATTTTTAAAGGCATTACTGAAATACAAATGCCCAATTACCTACTTTGTAGTGGATGACACTGGTCAAATAGTGGCAATATCCTTCACTGCCCAGGCAGGGGAGATGGCTTTAAGATTACTTTTGACTATGAAAATTATAATCTACATTCTCAGAGGGTTTATGCCTCTGATTCTCACTGGAAGCAACACACCCAAATGTCTTTCAGGGTCTGAGAATTTTCAGCAATCTAACAGAACCAGAAGCTAGAAAATGTAATTCATTTACTCAGAAGTTTTTCTGCACACTGCAGAAGCTTTCCCTTTCTTCATTTAGGCAGCATCAAATCCTGACACCAAAATTTTTATGATGATGGATGTCCAGAAACATTTAGACATGAGAAATACTGTGGATGTGTAAACAATCAGCCATGAAACCTCTCATTTGGGCACATCAAAGGCAACGAAGTTATTTGTCCGGCAAGTTAAAAAAACACAGAGAAAGGAGAATCTTGGGTTAATGAGGATAAAGTTTCAGGATTCAAAATTTTCACAAGGAAGCCATGTATGTTACAAATAAAAAAGCCCTTCTGCAGTCTCATTAGGGTGAAAATAATTCTTCAGAAGCTGACCATTAGCTAATGAAGACTAATGACTCAGGTTTTGAAAGAGCCACCGTGCTTCAGATGGAACCACAGCAACCAAATGTTCTGCAACCTCCTTCCCCAGTCTCATATCAGGGGGTTCAAAATACAGAGAGATCAAAGAAAACACAATTATTTCAAAGTCTGAGACTGTAAGACACAACTTACAAATCTCCTCAAGCCTTTAAAAGGACTGGTGATGCATCTTGATGTACTCAAATACAAATGAAACAATCCATGCAGACAACAAGCCAGTGATGATTATTATTACTTCAATACCTTCCAGCAACCTGGATATTTTGCAGTTAGAAAAGTCCAAGAGACTGATAGTTTATGAGGAAGAAGCTGCAGAAACATCATCATTCTCAGACAGAAAATAAATTAAGAATATATAAATAAAGGCCTCTTCCAAGTTCTGCCAGCTCTTGAATCACAAAAATATCTACAGACCCATGTAAATTACTCCAGGGCTAGTGTTTGTTTTTAATTCAACTTCTATGTCACAAGTGACTTCAAACAGGATCTTGCTTTGACATTTGCCTATTTTTTTTTCCTATTTCATCCTCAGATCTGCTATAATTAAAAATCTTAGATACTTTCTGTCTCTCACATTTTCTTTTCTGAACAGTTCCCATCTAAATATCTGCTTCTCAGCTGTGAGCATTCTAGATTTTCTACAGCAAGTTCACTCATTGATATGCCCCTGATTTTTCTCTTATTACCAGACTCATAACTACTTACTATTCTTTCTATGACATGAGCCAGAGCTTCTGATTTTACCAGCAAGGTTAATGCTGTGAGCTCAATATGCTGTTTCCACACTGATTATTCTGCTATACAGTGTTATTTTCTAAATTCTGTCATTTTCTGTTACACTGTAATTTTCCCAGCCTGTTTATTTTTCTGCTTCTCTGGCACCTTCCCCAGTGGATTCTGCTATTCCTGTGCAATGGCATTCCCAGTATTTGCACCTGTGTCATTCCATGCTGTTTGTCTTCACTATCTTATCTCCATCATTACCCATCTCTCAGGCACTTTCTAAGGAAGTGTCTGGATCTCAGCCTTAGGAACTGGGAGAATGAGACTCCAGCACCAGAAAAATAAATATCTTCTTCTAAGGGCCAAAATAATTCCATGAGTGAAAGCACAAACAATCTAAAGTGAGTTTATATCCCTGCTTGGTTCCTGTGAATGGCACAAATCCCATTTCTGGTACTTGGATAAGCTCCACAAAACTGAGAGGTCTCCTGTAGTGCTTTGGGATTAGCCATCATCTTTCCCTGCCTCCCTTTATTGCTATCAATAAGGTCCAAGATCACATTGCAGTCTGATCGTATTTCAAGATTCACCCCAAGACAAACATAATTCCAAAATGCAGGTACACTATTCAGAAATCTCCATACTCTCTTTTTTCTCTTTTTGGCTTCCTGTCTATCCCTAAGTGCACCCAGTATAATCTCTTTTCACTAAAAAACTTCTCTTATTCCAACATTATCCCAACATGAGTCCAGCTGCGTCCTGTACACAGTTGGTTCTTAAAACTTGGGTTTTCTTAAATATGTACAAAACCAGTTTAGGCTCAACTGAATTTCAAACGAATATTTTCCACATATAACACTTTCTGTGTTCTGTGTTCAGCTCCTGTATTACAGCAATGGCCAGTGTGATGTCCTGCCAAATCCTATGATGTGCTGTTCTAACACAACATTCCCTGGTGGCATCTGCTCCTCCCTCACAGTCATTTCTGCTTCTCCTCCCCTCATTTTCCCTGCTTTATCACTGCCCTGTGGATTTCACTCCTCACAGTACCACTTGTCACCAGGTTCATTTTCCTTTCCTTTTTCTACTGCAATGGCTTGAAAATCAGAACCCAGGCTATGACAAACTTACCGTATGGTAAACAGTCTTCTCTCTTGCCATGTTTAAACAGCTGTGCCTACAATGAAAATAGGGAACACAGACATGAGAATACAGAGATTCTATAACACAATATATCAAGCACTTAGCTCTAAAATATTTTTAATGTTCTTACAGTGAAGTGTAGTGTTTGCTGATTTAAATAGCATGAAAAGAAGAGTCTCAGGGTGCAGTTCTTGCTAACTGCTCAGGGGACTGAGGTGGCCAAAAAACACTCAAGAGAAAATGGAAAAAAAACCAAACCAAAACAAAACAGAAAAAATGAGAAAAAGAAAAGGTCATCAGTTTTGGGCCAGCTCAGGTCCCTGACCCATCAAGCTCAGTGCTGGGTCACAGGAGCTCAGTGTGCTGCAACCACAGCTTGTGAGAGACAAAACCACCTACAGACACATGCTAATACTCCTCCAGCAGGCCAGCTGCAATTGCTGTGCCCAGGGAATTTTATCTGCAGCTAAATATCCCAGTGAGATTAAACCCCAGCACTGCAGCGAGACAAAGGGACTATTAACACCTGACAGAACACGTTACACATTAAAAGCTTCCTCAGCTCCCCATGCATCAAAACTCTGGCCAGGCACTTGTTTGTCTTTGCTCTGGCACCCACCAGAGCAAAATCTTCCTCAATAAATATGCCTGGGAGTTAAAGAAGAACAGACTTCCCCTAAAAAGAGGTACTTTCTCACACATACCAAACACACACACATGCCTCCCGCGCTGCAGGCGTGGCTGCGAGCAGCAGAGGCAAGAAAAACACCTTGGGGCTGTGTGCCCGGCCTGTTTTGGTTTGTTACTAAATTGCATGTCAGGCTCCTAAATTAACACTGCTGATCAGCTCCACTTCAAGCTGTATATGGGAATTTTATACTGTATATCAAAGTATCTGAGATTTTAATCCAGGCAAATGTGAGGGCTCCTTAAAAATGACGTTTATAAAGCAGCAATGCAATAGAATGACTTCAGGCCCAGCCAACAGAAATAAATATCACTTTAAATGTATAAATTGGTACAGCTTTTAGCAATATCTGAAGTCAGTGTTAAAAACAGTACAAAAATTTCTCACTGACATACCAACAAAACTCTGCTTGTACGAAAAAGTCAAAAAAAATACATCAGAGGACCTTTGAATCTTTGGTATAACAAACCTAGAGCTCCTTTAAAATTTTTCTATCTTTGTTGAAACCTGCAGAAACTCATTTCATCACTTTGTGCCTGTGTTCTGCTTCAAAACCCCATCACCCATTTCTCCACACACCTTCCTGTGGATGCTGGAGACACAGCAGCATCCTTGCATCGTCACAATTCCTTCCCTGCATCCTCACAACTCCTTCTCCCTTCTGTCTAACTTAACAACAAACACTGTTTTTAAGGCACACACAGGCTACCTCCAAAATATTATTATTATTATATTCAAGAATATTGGAACAAAGCACAGTGTAATTCCTCCAGCATATATAATGTAACAAACAGCTTTTTAACAGATCCTTGGGAATACTCCTGGACAAACACCTTCGGATGTGTGCCCTCAGCACACTGCTGGGGAGGTGGAACAGAATCCTCAAAACACCAACCCATTTTCAGTCTGTAGTTCCTAAATTCTGGCACCTTTCTCCAAGCTTCTCCATGTGTTTTCACACCCTTGAGTCCAAATCTGAATTAAGTTCTGACTCCTCAGGAACAACACAACTGGAAGGTGCCACCTCTGAGATGTGGAAAGGAATCAACCAACACACAAGCAGGAAATGAAAAAAATTCAAATACTGCACAGTATTTTTATTGTATTCTTTTCCTCACACACCTATGAATCAGTTTAGAACAGCAACCTCGGCAGATTCCATTTCACAACCACTTCTATTATTTTCTGAACAAAAAAGTGAAACACATCATGTCCCTACAGCAGTTTCACTAAAACTTAAATAATAAACTATTTTCAACACACAACATCTACTCCTACTACAGGGATTTATAATTTACATTTTGTAATAAAATCATTGTGGCAACAGTTATACATCAACTGAGATTTGGATTAAGGAATTTTATCAATATGAATTTTTAGGGGAAGTAAAAATTGCCTGAAGAACACCATAGCTAATCAATAAAAAATATTTATTTGAATTAATAACGAAACACTTTTTAAAGGGCCGTAATATTAACTTGACTTTTGATCAATAAAATATGTTACCCACAGCTGGAAATGCCAAATGTCTGAATGGGAAGAAGGCTCTTTCTGCACCCACTGAGGTGCACTGGGGGTCAGATACAACCTTGGAGCAGTTCTACAAGTGATACATTGGGTATTTCTCTGTATCAGAGAAGTTTAATAGCCATTTTTAAAATAAATTTTACAGAAGTAAATAAGTAACAGCCAAACTGTTGAGAACTACTCTTCAAATACTCAACACAGCAGGAAATACAGTGTCTGGGGTTTTTATCTGAGTGTGGAGAAGACAAGAAGTTTGCTATCTATTTATGAGTCAAAGCATGCAAAAGCATCCCCAAATCCAAATCCCTAAAACTTTTGAGTGTAATAGATACATTTTTCCCAAAGGAAATATAAGAACACTTTAACCAATGCTGCTTTTGGGAAAGCAGAAAAAATATTTTCTTTCAGCACACGCTACAAACAGTCAGGCACGTACAGCAAAGTTACTCCTTCAGAAAAATTCTGTAAACCTGGAGCTTACAGGAGTCATACTAAAAAAGAAATGCCCATGATACATAAAATAAAATAATGAGAAAAAAAAAAAATCAGCAAAAAGGGCAAATCACCATTACAGTACCCAGCTTAAACTTCCTGCCTTGAAGGAAGAAAAATATCCAAGGCACACCATTTCCAAAAATCTGATACAAACAAAGTAATTAATAAGCTTGGTTTGCCACCTGCACAGGCATTTTGGTGTCAGCAGTGCTGAGCACGAGGAGCCTGCCTGTCGGAGCATCCCGGCAGTCGCAGTTACGCCACGGGCTCCTCGCCTAATGAGGACACAGAGCACACACCAACCTACCCAACCTGCTGAACTGTTGAAAAGTATGTGACTCCCTCTCTTATAAATAATTAAGCCACCTACAAATTAGAGAAAATCAGTGGTGTGCAAGCAATGACGACTGTCAAGTCTGGTTCTGCTTTAGAAACAGCACAGGGCAAGGCAAACAAAGCCCAGTTTCTTAATAATCCCAGTAGAGACACCACACCTGCTAATTGTCTGCATAACCCACTTTGGGCCCGACCTGCAGCAGATCTATCAGTCGGGATCATCTCCAGGACTTGTTCCCCAAGCTACACAAATCACCATGAGGGGTGGCCTGGCTGGTGGGGAGTGAGTGGATCTTCCTGCCGAGCAGGAGACGCCAGTCTGGATCTACCCTCTGGTTGTAACCAAGAGGAGGACTGGGAGGATAATTCCAGCCTCGTTGGGAAGAGCAGGAAATGATCTCTTGCGCTGCTCTGGAGCACCCCCTGGTAGCCACACAACACCCCGGGAATGCCACCAACCATCCCTGCCTCCCGGCCAGGGGCAGGGAGAGAGAACATGCTGGCAGAACTGCAGTTCACTTGGAAAGAGGGAATATTTAATGCATTCTACATGCAGCTGATGGTAAAATGGGTTAGCTGAAGGCCTTGTTCCTACTGTGCCTCCACACAAGCAGCATTCCTGCTGTGGGCCACACGTGCTTGGGTGTTGAGCATCAACATGACACGAACGCTGACAGACACCAACACAGTGATGGCAGCTTTCATGTGATCCCTGTTATTTATCAGCTGAACATCTGAAATGTTTAGACTAACACACGGAGAGCTGACAGAGTATTTCCTTTCCATCTTGAGATTACTAAAACCCACTGATTTTAAATACTCAGAAGGAAAAAAAAATTAGCAGCTTGAGATCTACGCTCTAACAAGAAAAATAAACAGCTTTATGATAACCGAACTTCTGAACCTTGAATGAACCACAAAACTTCATGTGAGAAGAGAAAAACCCAGCAGTATCAGACAAGGCCACATTAGAAGAAATACTCTGTGACAGTCAGGAGAGAAACAGGATGAGCAGAAAGCAGTCAGTGCCCTTGGCACCTGCAGACATAAGAACATTTTTATCTCTCACCAACACTGCTTTTCCTGAACCTTTATCAGCAAACCACTAAGCAACAAGCCCCTTTTGAAAAAAATAGCGCCAATAGACAATCCTAATACAGCCAATTCTTTGAGAATGCAAAAAATACAGAGACTTGGGAAACATTCTATTTGGAAATATTCTATTTTTGTGCCTCTGGGTCTGAAAGAATGGAGTTAGAGAGTTCTTTCTTCCCTGGAGCCAAATTTACATAAGCATGTAGCTATTGCTAAATAACCTTTGCATTAGAGACAGCTCAGGGAAATGCCTCGTTCTTAAGACTCTCGAGTTTCATCAGATCACTGTGTAGGGCGTTTTATTTTTTTTAATTATTACTCACACTTGTATACTGAATCACTTATAAAACAAATAAGGTTTAATAAGTTTCAATGCCCAAGGCTACCTCAACGTGATGACATCTCTGTCACGCAAGAACTGGGAGTGCTGCGCCCTGCAGCAATAACTAAAAAGCTGTTTGATATAATGGCAGGTTTAAAAGCAAACCTCCAGACCAAGAGAATTTAAAATGCAGATTCTTGAAACAGGCTAGAAGTTTCCTTCAAGTAAACAAATGTTATAAAGAAGTAGCAATTTCTTAATAATCCAGCATTTTCAGTCCTTCAAACACCAAAGAACAGGAGCACAAGAACGAATTAAATGCCATAGCAAAACATAGGTTTGAAGCAAGGAGGGCAGTTTGGAACACTGAATTGGAAATGGTGTCAGCAGAGGTGCCTGCTGGTGCCCCCCCATTGGGAAATGGCGAGTTACTGAGGACAGGTGGAAGGGAGCAGAGAGCCAAAGGCCCCAGTGCAATTACAATATGCAACGCCGGCTGCGTGTTCCGACAGGAGCCGCGGAACGGCCGGACTCGTTCTGCACAGAACGCTGAGTGAGATGAAACAGCAGCACACACCTGATCAGCCAGGCTCACGGCCACGAAGAGGAAGATCAAAGTGCAGCCACGGCCAACTACTCACTGCGTCCCTGACTTGCAGTTTCAGTTCATTGAAATGCAGGAGTTTCGTGTCTTTTCCGAGCAATTTTTCCACGTCAGCCTCGCTCGGAGCCGTTCAGTAAATGCAGACCATGAGAGGCACAAAGCCCACCCTGTTCAGGGTAGCCCCACTCCGCTTCGATGTGGAGAGACTTTTTATTCCCACTCTGGCAGGTTACATCATTCCCAAAACCTGTCACAAGCCCAAAACCCACCTTGCTGTACTGACCAGAAACTGAAAAATGGTCTTTTTTCTCCTGCTTGCTCAGAGAGATGGCCAAGCAGCTGCTGTTTGACTCTTAAAGTAACAAAGTGCTGGAGGAATCAAAGGGCAAAGAATTCTAAGCTTGTTGCCACAACTTTCAGTTGCTCCTCATGATGATGTGCTCTGCATTACACATTTAGTGGTTACATGTTATGTTAAAGTAGATTGTATTATTTATAGAATAAATGGAATATATTATATACTGTATAAAGCTAGAATCTTGTATGTTAAAGAGAAGTGTTTACTTATTTTGGACATCTGTTTTCAGCTGGTATTTTTGACAACACAGTGCTGCTACAAGTGTGAGACAGACTTCTTACTATAAAAATATTAAGAATACATGTAATTATATATAAATATATTTGTAACATTTAACCCTTGAAATAAATATTTCCTGCTCCCCTTAAGCACCTACATGCACACATACCTGCACACATACCATTGTGAAAACTCCCTAATGATACAATTCATTGTAGTGACTGAAAGGAGAAATTTAAGACTAAATGCAAGAAAAGGATTTACAAATCTGCTCATATCTACCAACTGGAACAGGAGTTATGAGCTGTGGAGAGGTAAAAAAAAAAAAATCACAGAAAAGCAAAGCAGCAGGATCTGCTCCCAGGTCTATTGTATCACATTCTGGTTTCGATTCGACTTGTTGAGTATTCACCTGTTTCGCTTAGTGCGCACTAATGAACAGGTGGATGGAGCCAAAGCCAAACGCAAAGGAATTATGACAAAACTCTAATGCATTATACATCCTGCAGGTCTCATCATGCCCCGGGAATGGCAAACAGGCAGTCTCCCTTTCCAGATCTGACAATAAAATGATGAAACATCATTCTGTCTTTTGAAACGCTGCAATGCACACAAATAACGCTTCCTCCTGCTTGAGCAGCAGGTCCTCAGTTATTCTAAATATAGATCATTTCTTCTCCCTTCTGATTTGGAAGAGCTGGAGAGGAAAAAGAAACAATCAAAAAAACCCACACCCCACACACTTTCTGCAGACCTCTGCTTTGATGTTTAGTACCACACAGCACACAAGTCCCCTTAGCAACTGGTTAAAAAGAGCAGCAAATATATGCAAATTGTCAAAACTTGTACAAACACCAGCAAATCCTCAAACCTGTGCAACTGCAAAGACTGCACAAGGGCTCGTGATCTGTCTTCACCTGCACTGCCTTGGTCAACAACCAAACCAAGAAGGAACAACTCCTCCACCCACACAAACACCTCCATTCTGCCCAAATATATTCGGACATCAAAACTGGCACAGACACCAGAACTGTCACCCCAGGATTTCAAAACACACCCCAGCACTTTTAAGGGTGTAAAACTACAACAGAGCTTTTATAAATAGCCCTTCTTAGGATGTACAAGAGGAGCACTGCCCTGGAACATCAGTTCAGGTACTGCAGATTTTTTTCCATGTACAGTATGTCTGTTTTAAAACCCAAACTAAGAATTCAGCTCTTTTGAGTCACACACCATTATCAATTCACAAGGAAAGGGCATTAAACAAAAAATTCACTCAGATTAGCAAACAAACCCAAACCTACTGAAATGACTGCTACTTGGAGAGTTATTGATGAGTATCTGTACTGGCAATTCTACTATCATTTGGGGATAACAAAAAAATGAAAATGTACATATATGGGAAGTTATATTGTCTAAACTGCTATGGAGGAAATTCTCCTTTTTTAATGCCAGGAACCCTTCTTTGCATTTGCTATCAAAGGCCTCCTGTAACAAAATAGGATGGCAATAAACCAAACTGTGTATCTTTTAAGGGAAAACCAGTATTTACCAGGGCCTGGAGCATGCCGTTGAGAATGACAGTGCCCTCCATGGTCTGGGAGGAGGATTTGGATAACATGGAGAGCACCCAGTCCAGGAAATCTGCCATCCTGCTTTGCCTGACATCAGGGCGGACAATAAACCTGTCAAAGAAAAGAAAACATTGCAGCCATTGACTTTATGCCACCCAATGAAAAACAATCTTTCCTCCTATCCAAACTGGTTGTACTTCCTGGAAGCAATTCTTCGATGTGTTATTTCTCCAAATCACTGAGGGCGAGAACATTCCAAACCATCCTATGTTTAGCCCATCTGTTTCTGAGCAAGGCTCTGATCTGGAATTTCACTTTCACTTCAAACCCATTTAAAAACTTTGGTACTAGAAATTTCTTATCTTAATTGCAAACCAGCAAAATTTCCAAAGCTTTTAAGATGTTATTTCTATTAGAATTAGTAAAAAGCTGAAATAAATAGGAGGATTTTTCACTTCTCTCACCAATAACAGCCATTCTGCAAATCTGAAAATCAGTGGAAATCAGCACTGGGTCCCTTTTGCACTGTCTGTCTGCAGCCAGGCCCAGAACAAGCAACCAGCAGGGCTACGTTTGGGTTTCAGATGTTTGAAAAGGTCAAGCACCTGTTATTTAACACACCAGATGGGTCAAGAGACATGTTTTTAGCCGTCTTAGAAAAGGGAAAAGAGGTTTATTATGGCTAAACTACCATGAATCTACTCTCAGCCCTCCCCTGAGCAGCCAAGCTGCAGTCAGGGCATCACTTCAGTGTCCTGGCACCTACAAACCCGGTCCTGCTCCAGCAGTGATTCAGATATTTGTTCTCAACACACCCAGTGGAAACGAGGCACATAGGGAAGCCCACCCAGCACATCTGAGGGAATTCAAAGAGGATGTGCCCCAGAGCCAGGACCTGGATCCTTCCTGCACCTACAGATAACTGAGGAACAGCACCAAGAGCTGACTGACGGGATATATATTAAATATATTCAATACAGAGAACACCCCTACAGTGAGCTGATGGGATGGATTGGCTTCCCAGCCAGTCCCCGTGGGGCTCAGCAGCAGAACAATGAGGACTTGGGGTGAGCTGCAGGAGGGTTGTTTTGGGTTGAGGGATGAAGCTGCCCTTGGCCCCAGGGCACACACCAGAGAAGTGACCTGTGAAGTGGCTGAGCTGGTTCCTAGACCCTTCCTCAGCCCCAAGGAGTTTAAATCTTTCCTTCCCAAAGGAGTGCCCTAACCTCCAGACTAAGAGCAGGATAAGGATCAGCCTCATCTCCTCCTACTGCAACCACTCACGAAGCAGGCAGAAAAGAGAATTCATGAATATACTCCAGCTCCTTTGCCCTGTGAGAAGCAGCCTACTTTGGAAAACAGGAGGTCTTGAATCCTAATGTTTCTACAATTCACTTGAAATTCATAAATTCCTCAGAGCACAAACGAGGACCCAGACTTTCCAGAGTGTGCTACAGAGTCAGGCTCCTGTATCTCATCTCTCCATCTGTCCCAGGACAGTTGGTGCTCCTGCCCACCCAAGTAACAGTCCAGCTCCAGGGAGACACCACAGAGACCTCATGCCAGAATGATCATGCTCAGAACTGGCTGTGGGGATGTGAAAACAGGGAAAGGCCTTGGAGCCAGCCTTCTAATTTCTGGTGATGTCTTTTAATCACCAGGCTGTTTTGAAAATGGTGTTTTCATAATAAACTAAATAATTATAAATCCACTATACAGTACCATTACTGCCTTGCACAGCTTAATGTATTCTATTACCATATTTGTTCTGAACATATACTCCTAATTAAAATTAATTCAGCCAATAAACAGAGGTGAAGAGAAGATAAGACAACTAACAAGGTGCCTGTATAGGACCCAGTGTCAGGGTGCAGGGCACTGGTGAAATTCCCCTGAAACCAAGGGCTGAGCACTGCATGAGCATAAAGCTCTGCTGAACACAAAGCTACAATCAATAAAGTTGTTGTATGTAAGCTTCCACTCAAAATTTAGTTTTACAGACACTCTGGAGGTACAGCTGAACTGCAAATTCAATTAAGCATAATGTGATAAAAGAATCTTTTAAAATTACTGTCACCCTTACTTGAGAAGGCTTCCAAGTACTGGGTGTACCTGCAAGAATCTATTACCCTTGGTTAATTTGGGTACTTTCTGGGATTTTAGGAAGTGAAGAAGGCCTATATGAATGTTCAAGAACAATTCACTGTGTCACACTGTCATCTCAAATCCTCTGTGTCTGTCAACATGTGACAAGGCAGATTACCCATACAAATACATAATCAGCAATTTCTAATTATTGATTCCAAAATGTCTACAAAAACTAATTAGGATCACAGAATTATACAATCATAGAATGGTTTGGGTTGAAAAGGACCTTAAAGCTCATCCAGTTCCACCCCCTGCCATGGACAGGGACACCTTCCACTATCCCAGGTTGCTCCAAGCCCCATCCAGCCTGGCCTTGAACACTTCCAGGGATCCAGGGGCAGCCACAGCTGCTCTGGGCAACTGTTCCAGGGCCTCCCCACCCTCACAGGGAAGCATAAGGAGACAAACCGTGTCAAAATAAGTATGTAACAGGCAAGACTTCTTCAAGACTGCACAAATAATGCAGTCTCTTGACTTTTGCTCTGATATATTTCAGAATAAATCAGAAAAGCACAGGATGAGTCACCAGAGAACTGTGAGTCTGGTCTCAGGTCCAGAATTTTCTGCATGACACTGGACATTCTAAACCAAGTAAGTGATTTGCCATCAGATTCAGACATGTAGCATTATATCCGCTAAATATAAATTTCTAAAGCCTTGAGTCCTGTGACTGAAGCTCAGAATAACTTTAAAGTAAGTACACAGACGGTTACCTCCTAAAAAGACAAGGTCTAGTCTACTAAATGTTGTTTTTAGCAACTATTTTGATTAATCCCATCAATTTAGTGCACCTTAACACAGAGAATATGAATGCAGGTGTTACGGCTATGACTCTCCCACATCCACTGCCCCCATCTCCCAATGTCACTGTGTTCCCATGTCCTACGGTGTCCCCTCATCCCTATGTCCCCATGTTCCCAGGTACCCTTGTCCCTTTGTCCCCATGTCCCACAGTCCCCATATCCCCTTGTCCTTCTGTTTCTATGTCTCACTGTCCCCTTGTCCCTTTGTCCCCATCCCCTTTATCCCTGCATTCCCAGGTCCCACTGACCCTGTGTGCCATTGTCCCCATCCCCGTGTCCCTCTATCCCCATGTCCCACTGCGTCCCCTACATTCCCGTGTCCCCCTGTCCCCATGTCCCGTGTCCCCATGTCCCCTGTCCCCATGTCCCGCTGTCCCTCCAGCGATAGCGCCATAGCTGCGCGGGCAGCGCCCCCTGCTGAGCACAGGCTGCAGTGCAGATTCGGGACTTCCACTGCTTTAAAAAGAAAGGAAAAAAAAACCCGAATCACTGAATGACTGAAGACCTCTTCCACTAGAATATCCGGGAATGGGGACTGGAATAGATACTGAAACAAGAGACATATGTGTACTATCCCTGCTTATGGTCTTTAATTTATTGTGATGTGCAGAGTATTCCCAACAAACACTACTGTATCCAATTCAAGCAACAGTAATACCCCATAAACAGCTGGCAACTTCCAGCCCTCCCAACACATCAGGTTAAGAAACAGCAGGAGGAATGGGAGCCTTTCTGCCAAGATGCACAAAAGACTTACTTGGACACCAGCACAGCAGCTGCATCCCGAGCCTTGTCACTGACAACCAGGTAACACTAAATGGAAAAGAAAATTGACTGTAAAAGAATTCATATATGGAGATAGAAAACCAGCTATGTAACAACTCTGTACATAATAAACTACTGAATACTTACATGAAAATATTATGATGATTACACACACTATGTCATTATTAGGATTACAAACTGAGCTTAAAGATAGTAGAAAGTTCATTTTCCCATTCAACAAACTATATCTGAAGCAGTCTCCCTTTGTGTGCTTTACAAAGCAGGTTTGTTACTGAAGGTTTATTTCCTGAAGCCTTAACTCACAGACACATTGGCCTATAAGCAGTAAGCCCCTTACTGCTGCGAGTGTCAAAAGCCTGAGCTGCTGGGGTACCTGTGGGGAAGGTTGTTTATTTTTATCTCAAAGGCATGACAAGTCAGCCACCTGGGCTGACACCCACTGGAACTTCATCTATTGGCTTAAAAATCCTCACAGAGTCACAGCTTCCAAAGTTGCTCACTGTGATCAAACACTGATTTCCTCTAAAAATCCTCAGACTTGGTTTTCAGAAGAAGCTCTCTGACACTTTCAAGCGTTGAAAGCCTCTAACATATTCAAAGGCAGGGGTTCACCTCAGATAAAATGGTTTATTACATCAGGGGAGACAAGTTCCAGTCTCACCTGACTCTAACCCAGCAAACAACAGAGTAAAGATCCAGAAGTATGAAAAAATTCTTTACAGATTAGACACCTAAATTAAGCCCAAAAATACAGGCTTAAATAATATGCAGAAAAGAGTATCATTGAGGAATATAGAGAATATATTAGTATTTATCACGTAGTGAATGACTGTGCCAAATATCCCAGGTCTGGAAGCATTACAGGATGTGTTTTCCTCACCTTTGCTATTTCCAGGATGCGATCCATTGTTGGCTGCCGAGCCTGCCCTTCCACAGAAACGAGGTTTCCATCAAAACGGGCCAGATCAAAAGGGATCAGGCAGATCATGGACAGCCACAATAACAGCATGTAGCGAGTTTCCCAAGTCTGGAATGGTAAAACGAAGGGTTTTTACTTCATTTTCTGCGACATGAAGTGCCAAGAGCACAAACTGCCCCCTGGCTCCAAGGAACTTTGAAAGATTAGCAAGAGAAAACTCTCAGTGTGAGTGCTCTGAAACTCCAGAGGAGATAGAACTACAAACCATCCCAAACAGCAAAACTCTAACAAAATTCATGGACCCTCCCCCCCCAGTCAGAAATCTAGGCATCCTTGTTTCCTTCCCAAAGGAAAACTGCACCTTCCCATTTTCCTGTTTTTTTTCCTTCCTTCGGCCTATCTCTGCCTCCACTTACAAATATAACAGAATGTTTTTCTCCTTAACTTCTTATGTATTGCTTTCACGGGTTTACTGAAACTTCAGAAGAAGAAAGTTTTTCAAGCTTTAAAGCTGTACACCTACAGCAGCAAAGTGCCAGAACTGATGTTTATTTAAAAAAAAACAGCTTTAATTTAGAGCAGCAATACAATTATTGTCTTCAAATCCATGGTTTTTGTTACTTACAATTGATAATGATTTCTCTGAAAATTCATCTATCTTAAGCAGCTCTCTGGAGTTCTTCTTTTTCCTTATTTAAAAATAAGGAAATAATGAATATATAAGTAGTTTATATAAGAATATAAACTACAGTATGCTCAAGTCAGACTGGATGATTTTTCAGTTACTCCTTTTAAAGGTTCATTGCCTTTCACTGCCCTTCTTCTTACTCTTGTAAGTTAGAATCAATTTGCTCCTTACATGAATGGTTAAAGGTTCTCCTTGCACCTCTACAGCCACTGCTTCTAAATCCTTGGAGCAAATCCCATGAAATAAAACCAAGACTTCTCCTTGGGGAGGGGGCATTTCTCACGTGACAAAATGATGGTTTTCACACCAAATCCAGGTGTTAACACCAGGCAGGGTCTGTCACTGCTTTATATACTTTTCCCCAAATTTTTCCTTCAGCTTTTTCCACTGGAAAAAGACATAAAAGATAAACTAAAAGTACAGCAGGTCCTCACCTCAGGGTCTCTTGGGTTCTGCTTTGCAAGCATATCCAAAACGGGCTGCAGGTCCCGGACTTCATGAGGGAACAGTGACAGGAAACGTTTGTACCCTCTCACCTAAAGCAGAAAGTTTCAGAATTCAATCACCCAGCACTACTGAGGGGAAAGGAAAGACCCTTGCAAGAATTTCTTGATTAGGATCCTCACATCATAAGGAGAGTAAGCATGGAAATTAAAGTCTTAAATACCTTGTGATATTTGTGTTTTTACAAAGTTATTAAGAATTCATGAAATGATTATTAACTTTAAAACAAGGGACATCTGGAGATTGGCTAGTCCAACCCCCCTGGTAAAGCAGGGTCACTCCAGCAGGGTGCCCAGGACCACATACATGGGCTGTCCAAAATATTTTCTTGTGCTTGAATGTAAATTCCACATTCATCTAATTGCTCATCACAGTTTACTTTTCAATGTTATAACTCATGTTTTATCACTGAGTATCTCTATGTCTGCAATTTCTTTTGCATTCAGACCTTGATTTTTCCTAATCTGTTAAATAACATAAGCTATCATGAAAATGGGAAACAAGAGAACTAATCTTTCACAATACAGTTTAAAATATTTAATCACATTAGACACTTACTTATTTTAATATTTTTGAAAATAACAAAGAAAATATTAATAATTTACTAATTTCAGTTAAAGAACATTAAATTTAGATTTTTTTACCTTTGCAATGATGTAGAGAAATTTAAAAGCCAAGTGAACTAGTGGGGGAGGAGATCCACTGTCCTGTATTATTGCCAACAAGGAATTCATCATCCCCTCTAGTGAAAGGAGAGAAAAACCAGTGAGACTACATGCAGTTCAGAGTTCCCTGTACTTCTGATAGAACAGAGAGAGACAACAATTATAAAATAGAAGTACTATCAGCCACAGCAATCTTGTAATGCAAACCCAGATCTTACAGAGTAACAGGTTTTTAAGTATAGACAGAAAAAATATTTAAGGATGACATTCCTACCTAAGTGGCGATCCAAAAGGTGAGGCTGTTCCTGGTACTTGTCCATTATGCCTGGAAATTAAAAGATATCTGTAATAAACTACTCCAAGGCTCTTCCAGACCTTTAACTGTGCGATACCCTCTGATTCTGAACAGTTTTCGCTTAAGATTTCTGCATCCCTGAGCTGCCACCATCTGTAAGCAGGGTCACAAAGTTAAAAAATCATAGAGTGAATGGAGCTTGGAGCAACCTGGTCTAGTGGAAAGTGTCCCTGCTCATGGCAGGGCAGGTGGAATGAGATGATCTTTAAGGTCCCTTCCAACCTAGAGCAGTCTATAATTCCAAGTAAGAGTACAAGCACAATCTGTCCCCCTCACACTGCACTCATCTACCTACTGAACCATCAAGCCACCCCCAGGAGTCTCTCCAATTTCCTTGGACAAACCTCACACAAGTAACACTTTGCAATGAGGGTGCTCCTCACAATCTCAGAGCTAATTTCTTATTTTGAAATAGAATTCAGCAAAGAGCAAAGAATCCTTAACAAATTTTAACCTCAACAAACACAAACTGCAGCTCTTACTACTGTGCTACTCAAAACTGTTCACATCTCTTACTCTATTTTGCTGCCAGTAACATGGTCTCTTCCTTTTGAATACTGATTCAAGAGAGGACAAATTGAAATTTATATTGAAAAAAAATTAAGAAAACTTGGAAAGCTTTCAGACACAGAAGCTTTTCAATTTAAACCCAGAATCAACAAAAAACAGCCACAGAAATAAAGACAGATTCCCAAGGAGAACATTAAGTGATCCAGTGTGGCACTAGAGACTGCCTGGCTCATTTTAGCCATTTGGTCAGAAAATAGCTTTGGAATTAGAAAATTAAAACCTCCTTAACCTCCCCTTTTCTGTATTTGTTTCTCTCGTAAACAACCTCACTCTGTCCTTTTTCTCTGCTTGACACATCAACACTTACATTTAAGACATGACTGAAAGCCAACAGTGCTGCAGTTGACCAGTGGATGACACTGCACAACCACTTTCAGACACCAGACCATCCAACAGTATCCTTGTGCAATTCCACTGGGATACCAGAAGGCCATCAAGAGGGAAACCTGAGCTTCTAACCATCACTGACTTCCCACCTTAAGTAATGATGCCTTAAGCTGCATACAAACAGCAGAACCAGAGAACATGAATTCCAACACCAAAGCAACAGCTTTCCAGCAGAACTGACATTGAAGAGCAAATTATTTTCCCAGGTCACAGCCTGACAAAGATAAAATAAAACCCCAAATATAAAAGCTGAAGAGAATGAACCTAAACCAGATCCTCTAAACATATTATTTCAGAAAAGATCTTCCTATATTTTCCTATAAAATTGTAGCTGCAGATTAAACTGTTTCCCAAACTTCCCTTTCTAATGGTTCATCAAAAAATGAGCAGCATTAGTTTTTCTGAATCCTTTGAAAACTTTCATTAAAATCCTCTGGAATGGGTGATTACTGTGTTCTCTGTACCCAGATAAAAGAAATTCCCTAAGTTTCAGTGTTCTAACCTACACATTGAGCCTCTTGGCAGATTTGGAACATTTTGTCCCAAAAAGATCAATGACATCTGAGTGCACTAAATGATATAACCCAATACTGAACCACATACACAGTATTTTTTTTTAAAGTATATTGAGCCTGTATTTACTAGGCAACAATATACAGGCAGAAAGCTCATAAATTCAATTTAAATGCACAGAAACTCTTCATGCAATATGACAAGACAGAGAGGCACAGCAAGGTGAATTTTCCAGCAATGGTTTTTCCTGTCCCACTGAAATCTGACATTTCCTCTGTGACAACCTCACCAATGTGACTTCCTGGGACTTCTGTCTGAGCAGTTACATGTCCATCATTTAGATGGAACAGTCAGTTCAGTCAACCACAATAATGCTGCTGAAAGATTTCTGCAGGGTCAGATCTCCAAATTTGGGGGGTTCTGCTTTATTGTTTGCCCACCTCATTTCTTGTCATCAAAAACAAAGCTGCTGGGTCAATATCTTGACTGTGAGTTTTTCAATTTCACCATCCTTTTCAAAAATACTTGCAAAATGCCAGTCTGCTAAATTTAGTTTGCAAATACATGAAGCACTGAAGGAACTTTTGCAAATCCCCTCATGTGAATTGCCTTGAAACAGGCTGGTCATCCAGGACACTGCTACCTGCACCTCACTATGGCCCTTCCAGATTCAGTTGAGGCCCAGACAGCTTTCCTTAGACCTTTTCACAAAAGTGAAATCAAGTTACCTTCACTTGGAAAAACATACATGATCTGCATGGATTCAGCCACTCTTCACATCTCCCATGCAATTAAAAAGTAAAAATAGGAAATTGACACTGTGAAGTACAAAATGGGTATGTTTCGATGAGTAATTAGGTTAAAAAGTTGTTTTATTTGACAGACATACAAACTTTTAACTAAATTATGGCCTGAATTTGAATAAGAAACTGGAGGCCTAACATGAGTCAGAATTATGGAATCTAAGACCTAAGTTTTCATTTACAGTAGTTAAATACCAAGTAATAAAGGAATATCTATACGGAAAACAAAATGAGCATAAAACCCAATTGAACTACTTGTTGATAAAGTTCCAGCATTATCACTGACACAAAAATTAGCGGTTTGGTCCCTTTTTGCTAATCAGCAATAATAAAATTAATAATACATAATAAAATATTTGTATCAAGCAATAGCAGGACCACTCCCTTTGGCAGCCGTGCTTACCTATGAACCGTTCCACGGCCATTTCCCTTGTCACCAGCTCCCCGAACACTTCCCTCAGGTTCCCGATGAGCTCCGCGACCTCCCGGCTCTCGGTGAAGCTGTCCAGGATGTTCCTGTCGCTGATGGCACCCGGCTCCCGCTCCTCGCCCTCCTCCGGCTCCCGCCCCGCTCCGTCCATCCCGGCGGGCCCGGCGCTGGCAGTGTCAGAGGGAAGGGTCAGTTCCACCGCCCCTCCGGGTGCGGGCAGGGCCGGTCCCGCCGCCCTCACACCCCGCCCGGCCCCGCCATGCGGCCCCTCCTGCAGCCCCTCCCGCAGCCCCGCCCGGCCCTACCGGCCTCCGCCGCCGGCCCGCACCGCGGGGCTCCCGGAGCCGCCGCCCTCGCCCCTCCGGCTCGGCCCGGTCCGGTGCGTTTTTCCGGGGGGACCCGGGACAAGGGAGCACCCGGGACAAGGGAGCACCCGGGACAAGCGCCGCTGCCGCCCCGGGCCCGCCCCGCGCCGCCGCCGCTCCCGCTCTGCTACGGGCCGCCAGGAGGGACTAAAGGCGGCGGCGGCGCCGCCTCCGAGCGCGGGCCCGGCCCTTGCGCGGGGCGGCCGGGAGCTGAGGGGCGGACACGCCCTGGGGACACACATCGGGGGTGGGGACACCCAGCATGGGGACACCCACCCGGGACAGGAACACCTGCTGGGGATGGGGATGGGGACACCCACCCTGGTGACACCCAGCTATGGGGTCCTGGGGATGGGACAAGGATGGGGACACAGGCATGGGCACCCAAGCACTGGGTGAGGATGGAGATAGGGACCCCCAGGGAAGAGAACAGGGATGGGGACAGGGACCCCAGGGGAAAAGGACAAGGAGGAGGACAACCTCTGTTGCACAAGGTGTGTGGGAGACAGCTGGATGATGCCGTTATCCGTGACCTCCATTCCTTACCCCACCCACACCAAAACACTGCTTTACATGGCTAATATCACTACACATTATCCAAACCTCATACAATTCTGGAAACAACATTCAAACCCTGAAAGCTACAACTACAGCTGCACTGATTATACAGGAAATTCAAGGAGGCACTTCAGCCCAGCCAGGATGTCAGAACAGGTAGTGGCTCTTTCCTGCTATCCAACAGCTCCATCCACACCCAAATATTTTATCTTCAGGCTCAAATTCATTAAATCAAACCACAGTCACAAAACACATGTACACCAAATGCTGGGTTTCTGCAAGGCGAGTGTTTTATTTGAGAACAAGTTTGAGTTCACAAGTACTCCCCAGTGTGCTACAGGTCGGTTTGTTCATATTCATAAACACCAAAAAGTGCACATGCACTTTGCTCTTTCCTCAGACCTAGATTTTTCCAGCCATCAGCTACAATCCCAACTATGTTCTAACCCTACTGTTCCACTTTTCCACTGTTTCAGTTCTGTTAAGTTTTATAACCAACTTTGACAGATTCCCGATTCAAAAGAAGTAAAAGTTTTTCACTATTTGTATCATATTTACAGACAGCAAAGTGCAATTGTTTTAAACCAATTACAACATCAAATTTTAAACTTCATTAAATCTTTATAGCATGACCATTTAAAATTGAAAAAAGCCTAAACATATTTGAGCACTTTTGAACAGAATATTTTAGTTCTAATCATGCCAACCATCTGAAGCCTGAACTCAGATCATTCTTACCCAAACCTTCTAATTCATATTTGTGGGACTGCACTTACTTTTACTCTCTTTGCCACTTTCTTCCATTAAAATCCCCCCAGAGTCACTGATGTCCTCTAGCTCAGATTGTACACCATTGTCTTGCTGAACACTTTTCTCCTCAAATTCCCACTGCCCGTGTTTACTGTAAAAATAAAGCAGTAAGGAACAATAAAACCCCTTACAAATGTATCAGATTTGACACTATTCCTTCCATAACCCAGTGGTGGCACAACAGACCAGCTTTGCCCACTGCACTCATTTCCTAAAATTGAAAATCAACGTCAAGCACCAACCAACCCAGCAGCCACAGGTGCTTCTTCTCACCCAACCACAGAGCCTCCCTCCCACACTTTGCTGTCTTTTTACAATGCTATTCAAATATGTTACTATTGTAGTACAACACACTAAAATATCACACTAAAACGATGAAATGCTATTATCAGCTTTGAGTGGTAACAACCTACTTCTGACTGTACAGGAATTATTATTATTATTATTATAATTACCAAGGAATTAGACATCCTTATAGAAAATACCACTGGAATTTCAGTTCTCGTATCAAGAGAAAAATGAATGCAAGTAAATTATGTTCAATTAAAATAAATATTAGAAATATTATTAATTACATATGGTTGCCAAATGCAGCTAAAGGGCCTTGTCTGCTCATTAAATTAAAAAGAGAATGTTTCCAGATTCACAGAATCTGACTGAAATTTTGGATTAGGACACTTGACATGCAAAACTAAAGGAGAGGGAAACAGAAGACCACGGGAAAAGGGCTGGGAACAGACAGAAAACTAAGCCAGAACTAACAAGGGCAGACATAAGAACTTGTTATTACTTCCAGCACCACTGTGCCACAACTGCAGCTCTCTACAGCAAACTGCTGGTGGAGCAGCAGCAGGACTGGGAAGATGCTGCTGTGGAACAACAGTGGGAGCACAGCAGCTACAGGGTGAGAGAGCAAGGGCAGGCTGACTGTTGTGCTGCTTTCCAAACCAGTGGAGCCATGACAAACAGTGCAGCCCTTTCCTTCAGCAGGGAGGAATCTGTGCAGGGAAACTAGTGCCAAAGTTAAAGATTACACAATTGCTCTTAGTTAGTGAGGCTCAAAAGTGCATTAAACCTTCTCCTTATCAGGTCTTTTACCATCAATTCCAAGTTTGTGGTACTTGGGATGAGCAGGGGCTGCTCATTCCTAAGGGACTGTGTCAGAATTTCCCAAATGTATCTGGTTACTTCAGAAGTTTCTTCATCATGTTTAGGGTAGAGCCCCTGTACCCGGTCCCAAAATGGTTCCAATGGTTTATGTAATTAAAGAGCTGATACAACTTGTTTCGTTTCTCAAATCCTGGAGCTTTGGGTATTTTACTGTGATAGGCAGAGAAAAAAGAGCTGCTGAACCCCCCAAACATTCCAGCAATGGCCAGTTCAAATTCTGAATGGCCATAGAAGGAGGCAGGGTCAAATATAATCGGCCCGGAGTCGTCCTCAGCCACATTCCCTGCCCACAGGTCCCCATGCAGGAGAGCAGGAACAATTTCTACATCACAGAACATTTCAGGAATCTTTGGCTGAAAAAGCATAAACAGACATATAACACTTAAAGAGTTTTGAAGAAAATAATAAATAAAACAAAGTACTGTAGCATATTAGAGCCTGAGCTGGCCAAATGCTGCCTGTGTGTTCAGCCCTCATGGACTGCTTTGGACATTGATAGCAACAACAAGAAGCCAGTGATAAATGTTCTGGACTGCTCTTGACAGAGCTCAGCAAAGCATTTAATTCACAGTCTAATATCAACACCTGGTACTGATATATTGTTTCTAGACATGGATACTGTTGGCTGTCATGAGAAATATAAAATTATTTCATTTAAGAAGTTTCAATGGAAAAAGGACTGCAGTAAGCATCTGGACAAATGAACAGAAGAGAGGGGGAACATCCCTGGTGTTCCCTGTCTGCTGCATGGAACATGGCCTGAAACCAGCTGTAAGCCTGGGCCAGATAAAACACAAACCTGTCCAGGCAGCAGAATTTCACCCACTTCATAACACCAAGCTCTTAGGATTTACCACATTACTATTATTATTAGCTCAATGCTCAGAAATAAACGTTAATGCTGAATTACAGGGTTTTTTTCCCCCATCTATAAAAACTGACAGAGCAACAGGAATTCTGTTCAGCTAACAGTGTTGCTGGACCCACTGTAAAGGTCATCCAGACCTTGCTCTTCATTCCAAGTTGGGAAAATCACTTATAAAACACCTTTACAATTACTGATACACATTTTCTGAAATTCTAGGAAATAGATTTAAGACATGGTTCATACTTTTAGCTGTGACCAGAGTTCTCTGGCTTCTCTGTCTCCATAATCTTTTTCAATCAAATCCAGCTGAGCCTGGAGTCGGTGACGGATAAAGAAGGATGGCCAGTCACTCTGCCACTCATTCACCTGGAAAATGCAACACAAGTTTGCCACACACAGTTTTAACAGATGTGCACTCAGTGCTAATAACAGAGATCCAGTTAAAACATCCAGTGCTGACAAAATGCCCTGGACGTTGTCATTGTCACCAATGCACAGCAACATCATTTGCTTTGGGAGTGCTGCTCTCCTCCACACTTTGGTGGGGTTCTCTTTATATAAGTTGAGGTTCTGGCTATTTTCATTCATTCTCCTCTCTCAATGTATTTTAGAGGGAGAGTTTCTGGTGAGATCATTTCAGTTGTTCAATGTCAAGTTTCAAATCTTTCTGGAAATGCAGAAGTATTCGTTCATTTTTACTGGGCAACATGTCACTGTTGGACACAATGCATCAATGTAGATTCACAGCACACACTACAAGTTGCTAGGAAAAGGGGCTTTTATTCTCCAAACTTTTTAGCTTTTGCAGGGTTATATGCTACAGGGTTAACATGACTGGGTAAGGGAACATCACCTCTTGTCCCATTGGTGTGACAAGAGAAAAACACACTATCTACAGTTATGCAGAACTGTTTTGAGAAAGCAAGATGGTTTACAAATGTTGTCCTTGAGTGCAAGATCTCCCAATAAACATTCTCTTGAGAAGAGATCTGCCATAGATAGCCTGCAATTCTCTCAGGCTCAGAGAAAATCAGGTGCACAATAACACGTTTCTAATTTGGTTAAAAGTTGTACTTAGCAAAGAGTTTGAGATACTGGAGGTTCATTCAGTTGAGTCACAGAATGAAATCCAGATATGTAAGAGCCAGAAAATAGTGGAATTATCTCCAAGAGCCCTTTCCAATGTCTCATGAGACATTACATGATGAGGCACTCCAAAAGCAGTGGAGTGATCCATATAGTAGGGGTTAATAAAACTGAGACATTGAATGTGAAGGTACACTGATTTTTTTAAGTATCACCAAGCTAAAGAAGCACCATTCCAAATTCTCACTCAATCCACTGTGCCTGCTGGCCACATGCACAGTACCAAGGAACAGGGATAGAACAGAAAAAGCAAAGTTGTGGTCAGAAAGCTGCAGAAAAATGGAGCAAGCTCAGGTATGAGGAGTTTACAGACCTCTCCAAGTGCCTGTTGGCTTTCACAGCTGTGGAACAGACCATACCTGTGGGATATAACCACAGCAAGTGGCTGTGTGGAATCCAAACTGATCCACAAACTGAGCCTCAGAGTGACCGGCTCCTTTTCCTGTAGAACGAAATAAATATTAGGGGATTTGAGATCTTTACATGGTAAAGTTTGCAAACAGAGAACTTAAGGCAAAAAAAATAACTTCAGGCAATAAGTTACACTTATTTCATGGTCACAACCCCTTCTGAAGGTGGCAAGAAATCTTTTTGACTTGAAGATGCTGAATGGAAATGGAGGCATAGTCAGTCACAGTCAGTGAGTTTGCTTTGGATGAAGGAGTTGGACATTCAGGAAAGGAGCCCAAACACAGTCACAATCTGCTGTTCTGGAACTTGGACATGCTGCCATTAAATGTGGCTTGAGTTTGATTCAGAGATTATCTGGGACCTGCCAGGAATTTGGCCTTCACTCAAAAATAATTGATTATAATTTGTCCACCACTAGGAGTCAGACCCAGTCCACCTCTGAAGTCATGGGAACAACACAGATACATACTGGTACTTCTGATTTTGATAGTAACAACTCAAAAAAATAATTCTTTATGTAGCTGATTCTTTTTTCATTTATGCTTTAATTCACTTTGAGGAGCAGCAATTTTTAAATATTTTGCTACTTATTTGAGTTAAGAAATGCCAACCCCAACATCATGAAAGGGGAGCTTAATTCTGCATTTACTAAGGGAAAATATTCTGTAATCAGTTAATTATCTAAACCAACAGCAAGCAAAAAATGGGATTTCTGTAAGCTCAAGAACATTTCAAGAGAGTGAGAGTGCGTGAGGCTGAACGGTTTCAGTGACACTGAAGAAGAGCACAAATTGTCAGTTTGACTTAGGAAAGTTGAAAGTCATGCTGTACCACAGCCACAGGAACTGCTTCTTTTTCGGTTTAGTACATTACATCAATGCTTTACCAATTGTGCTTCCCTCAGTCCTCAGCTTCTCTCCCAGTTTCTGGTTGTAAAGATGAAGCTCTGCTATCTGCTCTCCCAGCTTTGAAGAGTATCTGTAGGATCAAATAAACCAAAATGAAACTGAAACAAGTGAACAAATATTACAGGGGAAAAAACCCTCAATTAAATATGACCAAGGGTATTCTTGGCAAACATAGAGCCTTAATTTCACAAGCACCTAACAGGGATCAAATGACTTGATAATAGCTCTGAAGACACAGATAATACAACAAACACAGTAAATGCTCTTGCAAGAAAGGTAAAGAGAACACAAGGTGGTATTAACAAGGGCAGAAAGGGCAGGAGGATCTGTGCTCCTCCTTATCAGCCCCACTATCAACAGAGAACAGAACATGGTATCTCCTGTTGGGCTTTACCCTTCCAAATCAGCTGAGCAGCAGTTGAAAGAGTAAGTCTGAAAAGAAGCCATAGGCTTCTAGAATCAAGGCTGCCTAATGCTGAAGGCAGACAACTAAAAACCAGTTAAATATTCCACAGGTATCTTAAAAAGAGTTTCAAGGATGGAAACTAATTTTTTTTTCCATGCCCAGAATGGAGGAAAATTATTAATTTAAAATTGCAACCAGAAGGACTAAGGTTAGACATTGGAAAATCCTTTCTAGGAATGGTGAGCTGGATTAGAATAAACTATTTGTAGAGGCTGTGGAATTGCCATTATTGTCCCAAATAAAATAGATGGGCTGGACAAGCAGCTGCCAGAAGAGCCATAGGCATGACACTGTTCCCATAGGGAGGCCTGGAACACAGCACTGCTCCTGAAAATCTGTTTTCAGCAACACACAACTCCTGAATTCCATGTTCAGGTTGGCTGACAGATGAAATGCAAATTCATGTCATCATAATCATGGCTTAAATCATGCTGGAAGATTCTACTTAGAGAAGCAGAGGTTTCAAAGACCTAAGAAGCCTGTATGGTTAAAGAAACCTGTTGGGCTGGGAAAAAAAAACTCCATTGAAAAATCTCATGAGAGAACGATGAGCCAAATTCAGCTGTGATTACATTCACTGCAGCAGCATCTCAGCACACATGGAGCAGCACACAAATAAGTAGTGACAGCCACTTCTAGTGCAGGAAAAGCAAAATATGGACAACGAGTGTGTACACACATATATAGATACATACATACATACATATATTTATATATTTTAATATGTACACAGAGAAGCACAGATCTCAACAGAGAGAAGCTCTTGTCTCTGAGAGAATAAAGTGACTCTGCTCATGAAGTTTCCTGGCTGACTGTAAGACATTTAAAAAAAGAGCCCCAAAACATAGTAAAAAGAGATGCATTCACATACTTGTTGAGGTGCTTCATCTTTAGGTACTCCATGGCAAACATGGCTCCTCCTCCAGGCAGGTCAATCACTTTGATGGGCTGAGGCACTCTTACAATCTTGGTTTTCTGAATCGCTTCCAAACTTGCCATTTCCCCTTCAAACATTTTTCTAGCCTGTCAAGGAACAAGAAGAATATCCTTGGGCTAAACCATAGATGTCTTAGAAAAAACAGACTTTTGACAAAGTGGCAAGGAGTTAATTCCTCTTGATAAAAGGAGAAAGCTGCAGCAAGGCACTTTCCACAGAGGAAGACTTAAGGGACTTAACCCTAACTTCTTTTTTTTTTTTTTTTTTTTCCTAAATTCATTCCAGGGTTGTAGGATATGTCACATTTCACCCTGATTTCCAGCTTCTTATAAAGACCCCAAACTACCTGGATGCAACAGCACCTCTGAGGATAATGTGGCCACTGCTAAATGAGGTGAACATTGAGCCCTTAAATTGTTTTTTTTTTTCCCCACAGGCCACTGGATGGAGACGACAGCACAAATATTCAGCATGTGCTCTGCATCTTTGAAGCAAAGGTGCTGTTCTTCACAGCAGTTTAGGATGAATTTTGATATTGATAAAGCAAATTTCCGATGCACTGTGATGTTAGAAAAAGCAATTGAGTATTCATTTAGTAATAGAAAAGTCAAGAGTTTAGCTTGAGAAGCTCCAAGAGTTTCTTTTAGAAATGCAAAAAGCAGTGGGGATGTTAGAAACTTCTGTAGCTTTAAAGACAATACGTGAGTTTTAGCACTGGCCCCTGTTTGTGCCCTCCCATTATCGATCCTCCCAACTGGAACATGAAAAGGAATGCAGTGAATGCAAAATCAGTTCTGGGCTTTTCCAAACTCCAAATACCACAATAACAGCTTTGTGCTTGGCCTCCTTTTTACAGGAATTACAGTTCATTTCTGCTGTTGAGGGTTATCACATTGCATTACACTGCATTTCACACTAACCAAACCTGCAACATTAATTCTGGATATAAAATAGACATAGCTTAAAAAAGAATACTGAGAACTGGAATAATTATTTATTATTAACGATCAGCTGCTTTTGAAATAAAAAGCTATCTCTATGCAATCATAAGATCTGCTGGCATTGACCTGAGGTTTGTGGTTGATTTTCACAAATACCCGTCCTCTGTCTGTCTCATACGTTTGGCCTTGGCTGATGCATCCTCCTCCAGAGCTCCCCACTGCCTTCAGGAGGTTGGTGTTCAGCTCTGCCTTCAGGATCTTCTCCATGGTCATTTCCAGGCTGCTGCAGCCGCTCCTCTGCTAAACCTGCTGCGAAACAGGATTAAAGGTCTGCGTCCTTCTGCCACTGTCACTCTGCGATGAGGTAGGAAGGGCCAC